AATCAATCGATCAATCAATCAATCAATCAACCAATCAATCAATCAATCAATCAATCAAAAAAAGTAGCAATCAATCAATATTTTTTTTTTTTCTTTTTTTTTTTTTTTTGTCACACCCCCAAAACCAACCCCCCCCCAAATTTCAATTTTTTTTTTCTTTTCTTTTCAGGGCCGTAGAGGGCGACGTGCGACGGCCGCGCGCGCATGCCATTTTCCCACGCGCGCCCCCGCCTGAGCCTGGCGTGGCCGCAAACAAACTCAGCCGCGCAGCCTCGACGGCGGTCGAGGCCGCAGGATCCGCGGCCGATGGTGTCACGTAGATGCCCGCAACACCTAAGAAATGTATATTAGAAAGTCAAATTCACACCAAAGAAAGAAATCCAAAAAGAGTTACTGCCGCCGTTTACTGGGGCTTCCATTTGAAGGTTGTGTCATTTGAATCTCTTTTTCACCTTCCAGCACCGGGCAGGTGTCTGATTTTGATTGTCATTGTCATTGTGATTGGGATTTTGATTGTGATTATGATTCTCTTCTCTCTCTGACATCGCCACATTGACAGGCACGAGGTTCAGTGTGAATCGGGACTCCAGCGCGCGGGTTCTGACCTGGCCTCAACAACTACGCAAGCAGGCACAGACGCTCAGTTGATGAGCGCTACCACCTTTGCACAGCGGCGGCAGTCATCAGAGATGCTCAGTGGTCCGGGACTGGCTTTGATGGGAAAGGAAAGCAATTCTAATTCTAGTGGCGATGTGCAGACAACGAACACGACGACGGCGGCGGCAATGACAAGACCGTTGCGACTGCGGTTCAGTGGGAAATTGGCGACCCCTATGTTCACTTGCAGGTAATGAATGTTTACGTTATTTTATTTCATTTAGTTTACTTGCAGGCATGGTTACCAGGCCGTATGTACGGAGGCCCCTGGGCCGACCTCCGTACGTTCGGGCATTCGGGGTCCCGTTCAGGGTTGGAACGTGAAGGGGTTCGGCCCCGCCAAAACTTGTTTCAGGGCCTTAAAATTATTTGGGTTTTTTTTTTGTTTGTTTTTTTGTGAGTTTGTTATGATGTGAGGTACATGCCTATAAAATTTTGAAGGCATTTTGCAAAGCCAAAACAAAATGAAAAATCGCCAAAGACGGCGGTGTCAAAACGTGCTCACCCACTCACTATTTTGTTTTTTTTTTCTCTTTTTACTTCAAATTTTGTTTTCACTTTCTTTCGGGGCCTAAACAATTTTATTTTTTGTTTGATTTTTTTTTGACGAGTTTGTAATCATGTGAGATACACATCTATAAATTTTTAAGGCTTTGACTACGCGAAAAAAAAAAAGAAAAATTGCCAAAGATGGCGGTATTTAAAATGTGCCTCCCACGCACTGATTTAATTCTCTTCATTTTTTCTTATTTTTATAATTTTATTACTATTAATTGTTTGGGAAAATTTTCGAAATGGCCCTGATGTTTGTGTTTATTTGCGATTTACCCCTCCGATGGCCGACTTACCCTGATGTGCCCCTGGGCCTCTGAACTTTCGTGCAGGCCCCTGTCAGTGAGGGGCACAACTTTTCGGAATGCCCCTACCGAACCGGCTGTCCTATTTCCCCTGCTGCCTGTCCGATTTGCCCCTCTGTGGGGGATGCATCTTCCTGAGATGCCCTCCAGCAGGGAGGCGCTCAGAATTTGAATTCAAACCCCATACTTTTCCATGCCGCCGCGCGCTGCACTCCATGTCGTGGCCCACCCCCGCCTTTGACGTCAGAGTACATGGCCAAGGTCAGTGTTCCTCCCCTTCTTCCATGCCTCTCTCTCTCTCTCTCTCTCTCTCTCTCACACACACACACACACACACACACACACACACACACACACACACACAAGCCCCAGTAGCACCCCTCCCAGGGCCAGGGGAACAGCCCTACTGCCAGCAATGGCCAGAAGGGCATACCGAAAACATGCACGGTACCGGTAAGGACATATGAAAAATTATTGTACCTGTACCAAATGGCTACCCGGTAGGGGCAAACTGGAAATGTGGCACCGGTACCGGTAGGGGCATATTGAAAATATCTCAGGCCCGAACGATGCCAGGGGTGTTTTAGAAACTTGAATCACTGTCAGAGGGGCAAATCAGGGTAAGTCGGCTGCCGAAGGGGCAAATCGCAAATAAATGCAAACTTCAGGGGCATATCGAAAAGTTTCCCAAATTGTTTTCCGTATTTTTTGTTGATCTCAAATTTGGTAAAGAATTGGTATGTAACGCTGGGGCAAATGTTGTTCAGTTTATTTTTCTGCATAACATGTACTGTTTTCAATTTTATTTTTTTTGTTGTTGTTTTCTCTTGGGTCCGCATTCGGCCTGAACGGCCAATCGTGTCTACAGGGGGGCTTGATCGCTCAGGTGTTTGGGTTCGACCGTTCGGCCCCGGCCGAACGTAACGGAACGTAGGCTACCATGCTTGCAGGTAAATTGCCTATATTTTGTTCAAAACCAAAGTGGGCCGCGGAAGAGAAATAGAGTAGAAACATTTCTAGTCGGATGAATTTGGGCGCTCCTGTAGTAGCCCTTACGTTTCCGAAAATTATGGCGCGTTAATGGGCATGACTCTAGGAAAGTACTGGTGGCTTAAGGAATTTGTTTCCTTTTGTCATAAACCCAGTTCAGATCGGCACAAAGGCCAGAAATAGGGGTCCAAAGTCACGTCTCTAGCCTGAGAAATGTCTGAGAAAGTGCCTACTAAGGGTCAAGGGGTACCAAGATCTGAGTCAAACGTTGTGTCCAGTACCTCAACGTGAGACAGTTGAAAAAAAAAAAAAAAAAAAAAACGTGAGACAGTTGACTCTTGGAAAATGAAGAGTCAGTCCAAGCACGGGATTTCGGGCCCAAAGTCGAAGCCAACCGGCTGGTCAGCCATGGTCGTCGATCAGATGCATATCAGTGGTTGTCTGCAGGTATCCAGAAGATTCCTTTCCAAGTGGGACACAAGGAAAAGTTGGGACTGTGCTGCATCCAGGCCATTGGTCTACAGACTCTACAGATCATCTGGGCTGTCGACCCAAGGAGACTGGAGGCTGGTCAATGTGGGTCGAGACAATATAACGATGACACCAGCCACTGTGGAGATCGTTCCGTCTTGTGCTGGCTTGATGCTAGTACGATATCGCAAATTTAAGCTGCTGGACCATAGGCTGGCGCCAGCACCAGAGGAGATTGTGTTGGAGCGGCCATTGCCACCATAGCGTCGATAGCGATAGATATCGGTGTTAAGGCTGGGCGACGAGGAGGATCGAGGGTGTGAGAGTGGAGAGGGATTTGAGGGGAAGCTTACCTGGACTTACCTGGCGACGTCGTGTGTGACCTGCGTCCTCCCTGATTGGTTGCTGATGTGGATGGAGGACGGGCGCCCGGCCCGCCTGCCGCCCGGCTGTGACCTGCACACTGCACACTGTACCTCTCAGAGAACATCAGCGAGAGTCTGCATTGTTGAGGTGGCGACAGGGGAGATAATGCCCGAGGAGGAAGTGCGCAAGAAGAACCTTCATGCACGATTGACGGGGTCTCTTCTTCTCCTCCTCCTCTCTGTCTTTTCTCCCCACTACCACATTCTCTTCTCTGAAGTTGCGGTACTCTAGAAAAGTGCACATATGTTGGGCATGGACATATTATCGATTTTGAAGACGTTATTTCGTCTGCGGGGTTCAGATTTGTATTAGGACACTGATTGGATTCTCAATGCCACTGGGTTTATTTCACTTTTTTGTATTTATTGGGTAAGATAACCCCTGTAGTCAAAATACAAACTTCTGCATGTGACGAAATCATATTCACTGAATCAGATGCAGAAGGTTTGAACAAAAAGAAACTGAGAAAGAGAGAGAAAAAAAGGGAAAAGTTATAAATCCCCCCCACGACAAAACCTCTGACAGTGTACGGCAGTGTACACATTTGCCCCAAACGGGGGAAGAAATCCGAAGAAGTGCAAGAGGCCCCAAGATAAGTTTCTGTGTCATTTTTGCGTCCCTGTTGGGCCAGTAAAACCCTTGAAATTCCCGCCATTTTTGTACAGCGGGCGTTGCCGGTCCAACCGGGGTGCAAAAGTGATGTGAAAAGTTGTTTCGGGGCAAAAGGGCATCTCACACTTTTTGCCCCGTTTGGGAGCAAATGCGTTCAAAGATTTTGTCGCCGGCGGGGATTTATAAATAACTTTTTCTCGAAAACAAAGAGACTGAAAGAGTGCAGCAGAAAGACTCTAAATATTACAACATATCTGCAGTTAAATTAGTGATGGCATTATGATACAAATCATCAAAAGAGAGATTGCCTGTGAGAAATTCCTATCGCTGGTGGAAGGGTCGCTTAGAAGTTAAAAGTTAACGCGGGATTCGGATGCAAAAGCATTTAAAGCAATGTATGCAAAGTGCATATTCCCGAAACTCCACAAGCTCTCTATTATGTAAGGTTGCTCTTCACAAATTTGACAAATTCGTCTCTTGGACCCTCAACAATGATGTTACAAATCCGCTATTATAATATATAAAATAATAATAATATATAAGATAATAATAATATATATATATATAAAATAATTAATCATAATAATAATAATAATAATAATAAATGAACCCTCAACAAATCCAAATTTAACACGGAAACTCCCTGTCGAAGAATCAGCAGCCAGGTGGTCATAATAGCTTCCTTTTGAGTCGTCCCAGTAGACTTCATATTCCATTGGCCATTGCTCCAGGTTTGATGAATCCAGTCAGGACCTCGTCTGCATAGCGGATATATAGAACGACTAATATGCCTCTGGCGTGCAAGCCGAACGTGAGGACTGCGACCCGAAGGCGCGTCTTGGCGGCTCAGGCTGCTCTTCGATCACCGCCGGATCCTCGCAGTGTGCCTTTTTTCCTCCCATCAGCCTCTTCTCTGAGGACGTGACATTGGGCTACTTGATTACTTGTACGATTTTGGAGACGTTGTATCTGTGCTGAGACATACTGTTTCTCAACATTGACGCGCTTCTCTCCTGATTGGGTTCATTTCATGAATGCCATGTTGTTTTCTATGTAAAAGCTCTGATGCACTGTCTTCTGATGTGCTTGCCTGCGGCTCCTTTTTTGCAGCGTACTAGAAGGTGCAGAGGGGAACCGAATCTCCGTTTCCGTCCTGGACACGATGACCGACCAGGTGATAGGGATTGGGCCTGAAGCATCGTTGAAGGTGGAGGTTGTTGTGCTGGAGGGAGACTTCGTCCATCAGGAGAAAGACAGCTGGACAGCAGACGAGTTCGAATCCTGCATGGTTAAGGAGAGGGATGGTAAACGGCCCCTGCTGCTAGGGGACACGAGAATGACACTGAAGGTAGTTTTCTCTTTTTTGCCATCCTGAGAATATGGAATTTCCGAATTTCCAAGTTTTCAGTGAGTTTCTGGTCTATTTGAATGTGCCGTGGGTTGAACTTAACCACATCCGATTCATCTGGCAGAGTGCCAGGAACACTACGGTAACCTCGCCCACCGCCTATCCACCCACGCACCCCAAGCGGCAGACCTGCATACGCATCGAATTCTGTTATGTCGGTCATTGTCGGACACTCCAATTGTGTAATGATTCGCAGGTCGAGCTCAAATCCTATTTTGTGAGATCTCAGAATTGTAAATAAGTGAATTGCAATTATAGTTCAGAATGTCATTCCATACACTCTGCGGACAGTATGTTGGAAAACGAAGCTGATGGATTAATCATGCACTGGGATTGGGACTGGGACTGGGGCTGGGACTGGGTCTGGGACTGGGATTGGGACTGGGTTTGGGATTGGGACTGAGATTGGGGACTGGTAATGCTGTAAGCCTGTTGCTGATGATTTGAGGGAAGACAAAAACTGAAACTGAAAATGAAACTGAAAATGAAAGTGGAACTGGAAACTGAAACTGAAACTGAAACTGAAACTGGAACTCGAAATGAAACTGGAAACTGGAACTGGAACTGGAACTGAAACTGGGACTGCAACTGGAACCGGAACTGGAACTGAAACTGAAACTGAAACTGGAACTTGAACTCGAAATGAAACTGGAAACTGGAACTGGAACTGAAACTGGGACTGAAACTGCTGGAACTGGAACTGGAACTGAAACTCAAAATGAAAGTGGAACTGGAGCTGGAGCTGGAGCTGGAACTGGAACTGGAACTGGAACTGAAACTCAAACTGAAACTGAGCCTGGTGATGATACATGGCTGCAGGCTGGGGTCGGGATACTAAAGGACTTGGCCTTCAGCGACAACTCAAGCTGGGTTCGAAGCAGAAAATTCCGCCTAGGCGTCCGGGTTTCCCCTGGAACTGTGCCCGCAGGGGTCAGGGTTCAAGAAGCCGTCAGCGAGCCCTTCTCTGTTCGAGACAACAGAGGGGAATGTGAGTTAGTCCTTGCTTAACCTGAGTTAGTTAGCTCCTCTGCCTCTGGAAAAGACTTGTGAGTCGTAACTATTCAGCAGTTTGAATTTGTTGGATGGAAGGAAGGACGATTTCTTTTGGTTTTCTCCCAAGAGTCCTAATGAACCATGCAGCTCCAGTCTATCAGTTGGGATTGATATCTGCTGCCAGTGGGGTGGAAAGGGGGGGGGGGGGGGGGGGGGGGGTGGAGGAGGGAGGAATGGACACAGGACAAGTAAGGGTGACTTCAGTTTCGTAAATGAATCAGAAGATCTGCAAAACCGAGGAGCACGAAAAGGAGAAAAACTTAAGGTGAACTTCAGCGCAAAAAGGAAAAAAAAGGTCATGGTCAACTTTGGTTAAAGACTCAAGAGTCAAGAGCGATAATGACGGGTGGGTGCTGGCCGTACTAAGTTTGCACTGTCAGTGGAGCTTTTGAGAAGAATTAGAATTCTAGCAATTATTAGTAATTGGTGATTCTTTTGGAGGGTTTACTTCCTAGTAAATACTGATTTTAATCCAGCTCCAAGTTGCTGGAGACTTCTTTTTTCCAGTTAACTTGAAATTGAAGAGAGGACTTGGAGGAAATTTTGAGATGACGGACTCCGAGAGTTGTCGGACAGACCACCGGGTCGGGGCCACCTGTTAAAGCTGTGCTGGGAACAGCTATTCAAGTTAGCCTATTAGTAACAGAGTTAGTAATGGAAAGCAAGCCAGTAAGTTGACCATGCTCACTGCCGAACAACGGTCTTGCCCTTTGCGCTTTAAATTGCCGTTTGCACACAAAGGGCATAGTATACTGTATGCACTACAGGTGTAGGGGGAGATTTGAAAACACACACACACACACACACACACACACACACACACACACACACACACACACACACACACACGCACACACTATTTCATTGGTGGATTGGCTCAATTGCGAATGCTTCATTGTCTGCAATACAGGTAAAGTTGCTATGACTTGGATCTTCTCATCTGCAGTGGGTGGAAAGGGGAAGTTGTGGTGTTATAACTTTGGATCAACTCATCTGGGTGGAATAGGGGAAGTTGTGGTGATATTTTATAACACACACACACACACACACACACACACACACACACACACACACACACACACACACACACACAGCGGTCACTATTTACAACCCCGTCCACCTCCCATTTCCTTAACAGGGGGGTAGAGTCCCAGTAGACCCCACCCTGCCCTTGCAGTCTACCGACTGCTTACATCTTAACGCACCTCCACATCATATACGTCTACTTTCTAACTTATTGTTACTTCAGCCTGCAGGTATAATATGTATGTACTATTACTGCAGTTATAATACTTCTGATTATTACTGCAGGCTCTCATAACTACATAACTACACTGGATACAATGTAGTTATGTCAGCCTGCAGTATAACCATGCATATTATATGTGAACGTGAAAGCTACCATTCAAATTAACTGGGACAGTAAGAGGCTACGAGCTAATGACATGAAGTTACCATTCAAATTGACTGGGACAGTAAGAGCTTATGGCATGAAGCATGCCACCATTGCCACGTACACTGTCACAGTGATTAACTAGCAAGGTTGGTTAAACTCCTTCTAGAAGTTACCAGGCCGGGCAGGCCCTTGACTTGGAACCACTTACAGTAAATTAAATTCTATTTTGACAGAACATTTGGCAAGTGATCTGCATGTTTTTATGTGAAATGAAAGAAGAAGAGAGTCCAAGAAAGAGGGGGAGGGGAGTCGTAAAATATTGTGGGTGGGACGACGGAAACACACAAAATGCTCCACCAGTTCAGGACCATGGTGGTTGACCGCATTGGTGATTCGTTTTTGTATGGGTGGGGCGTCTTCGATTTTACAATGTGTGATGTGCAGTATACAAGAAACACTACCCGCCGGCACTAGATGATGAAATATGGCGTCTGGAAGGCATCGGGAAGGGTGGAGCCTTCGATCGACGACTTCAGAGTTGTGGTGTGCACAACGTGGAAGATCTTCTGCGGACGTTTGTGCTTGATCCTCGAAAGCTTCGGAAGGTAAGGGGTATAAGGGGTATGTGCTCCACTGCCGGTTCTTCAAGGAATTCCTTCCTTTTCTTAATTTAGATTTTAAGCCACCAGTACTTGGCCCAGTTATCGATGGTGGAAAAAAAAGTAGAGTAGATACTAGCAAGGGTTCTCGTTGGATGAATTTGGGCACTCCTGTAGTCGCCTGTTCGTTTCCTAAAATCGTGGCTTGTTATCGGGCCGTCGGGCACGACTTTGCGGAAACAGCGCTCTTCCCGTAAGAATTCGTGGGGCTCTCCACCTACTGGCCCTTCTGGGACTCTGACGGAAAAAGTGCCATGGGGCAAATCATACTCTTTTCATTTCCACAGAGGCCAGAATTGTGGCCTGATGCACTTGAACCGTTTTTTTAAAGCAATTCTTGGAAAAAGATACGTTGCACCTGGTCTCAAGTTAAGAACCCCAAAATCAGTACCTGATAGTGGAAAACAGAGGAGAACTAGGGCTTTCAGTGAATGTGAGGGATTTTTCAGCCAAGGCAGGCTCCCGGAAAGGGAAAAAAAAGTGGAAACGATAGTGGAGCCCGCAATTCTTTGAGGAAAGTGCTCGAAGAACTGCAGAAGTGGAGCACAATATTTAAGTATCATTGCCAGTCAAGGTACATCTCAGAGAGAGAGAAATGTCTAGAAATTTGTAATTAGCGGATGAAAAACTCCGCACTTAACAAATATATATATAAAAAAATGCCAGTCCAAGAACTTAAACCACCAGTATTTCCGAAAAACTCATGCGACGTGCTCGGATGAACTGACCTGGGGCCCTGGGGCGCTGGGGCGCTGGGGCGCTGGCACAAATTCATTCAAGTAAAAACATTGTGGTCCTTGTGGCACTGTAGCAATGGCTGGCTGCATGCAACTGGCCTGGGGCGCTGGGCCGCTGGCACAAATTTATTTGAGTGAAAACATTGCGGCACTGTAGCAATGGCTGGCTGCATGCACGCGGCTACCTCCGGAAGTACTGGTGGTGTAACTTTTGTGCTGTAATGGTGGTTATGTTTCTGGTCACTTCGAGGATGGGCAGTATCGGTTGTTGGCCAAGGCTAGGGGGTATTTTGCAGATTATCCCGAAAAAGATTTCTCCAAAAAAAAAAAAAAAAACCTGCATGGGCGAAGTACTGGGCCGTGGTCCCACTAGCGAAGGGGATAGGATAGAAATCCTGAATCTGGCTATGTTTTATGAAGAGATACAGGAAAGCAGTTCTATCCCGATTCCCTGCTCCTGTCCTCAAACACGTCCAGATTCAGGCATTCAATCCGATGCTCTTGGCTAATGGGACCACGGCCCTGGTGGTGTAATTTGTGTGCTGTAAT